TTCTCGGCGAGTACGTACTCGCCAAGAACGCGAGTACGTACTCGCGTACTTGAGAATTGAGAAAGGGCCCGCGGTTATTTTGGCCCTAGCTGCACTGGATAACTTTTTTTTTCTTTTAAAATTCCATCCATGGAATCACAAGTTTTCAGTCCGAACATAATCACACAGTACACGCTTCATATTTCTCACCTGGTTATTTTTCCCACCCCAAGGTGGACAAATGTCTCAGCAGAATATCTTGCAGTGTGAATATAGAGTGCAACACAAAACCACAAGTCATGGTTTAAAAGAAAAAACGGTTTAAAAAATGACCAAAGATATTTCCCGAGCAGCAAGCAGTATTCAAAAACAGCCATAAAATGTTCAGATTTGGCCCAATCATATGCTCTTTTTTTGTCTTGCAGTCGTTACTCACATCGTGCTCAAGACAAATCTCGCACTTATAGCTGGGCTCAGAATCCAGGTGTGGATCACAACTACTCAGGACCAGCAGGACCCCTTTACGGTCGTCTCTGCTACAGCAGTCACACGTTACCCATTCTCCGTCGCGCCCCAGGAGGAACGTTCGAGCCAGGCTTGGCTGAGCTGGCGTACCGCTTTCCCGGAGGCCAGCCAGACCATTCCCTGGTTATCCAGAACCAAGGGGCCGTGGTCGGGCCGATGGAGTCTGGGGCGGTGTACATAGCTCCAACGGATCTCAGCACAGGAAGCCGAACGGGGAGTCGGACGGAAAGCCGCGACGGGACCGCACCCCAGAGCGGGGTGAGCACGTCCGATGGAGGGACGCCGAGAACCAACGACAGCCACGACAGAGGAGGAGGAACGGGAACCGCAAGCAACTGTACAGAAGGGAGCTGTGAGGACAAAGTTAACCTCAGTCAAAATGTGGACTGGGTAAGGATGACAGTGAGCTTCACACTAAACACATGCTAAACACACATGAGCTTAAATAAATGTGCAAGAGAAACAGACAGACGATGAAGGACACTAGGGTCTCAAACATAATGCCACTATTTAGCAGTGATGCCCAGAGAACCCAACATTCCTGTTTGGTAGAATTTTGACGTCCTTCCATCTACATTATTCAAACGCACACTTGCATATTTGTGTTGAATGCAGCACAGGAACTCATTCTGCAACACAGCTTAAAACATAGATTGATGGGGGGGCTAAATATTTCAATAAGATGTAAAAAGCGGTAGCCGTTGCCGTGAATCGTTAATTATAACGGAATAAATTAGTCAATTAGCAGTAGATGGCCACATTGAAGACATCATTAAAGCTGAATCAATGACTTAATTATTCAATTAAATAAGCAAACGAAAACGTGAGAAAGTCATTAAGCAAATATAAAATCATTATAAGGTTTTGAAACCAAACTAATATACTGAACGACTGCAGTGATTGAAGCACTGCCACACTTTTAGTCTCTGCACAGTCGCAGAAATGTCCTGGACGTTGTTGGGGGATGATGATGATAAAGACATTATCAGCACATCATACTCCTGCTTTATTCTTTCTTTTTGTTCTTATGCTTTTATTTATTAGGACCATGGCACGGCTCCTTGGCCCTAGCTTTATTTAATTTTCAAATATTTTATCTCTCTATCTCTTCCCTTTCCATCTCCCTATCACAGTGCAGTGTTAGCTCATTCTAGTGATCAATTAATGTCTATGTCTTCTTCCAACTCTGCTTTCCCTCCACTCTCCTCTGCTCACTGTCCGTCTGTCTCTCCTTCACGTGAATCACTTTTTATCATCATCATCATCTCCTGTTTTTTTCCTTCACGTGGGCAATATGTCATCACTATTCCTTATCTTTCTACGTTTAATATACCTGTTATTAAATTTCCCCTTCCTCTTTGGGCAAATTGTCTCATCCCATTTTATGTTACTGTAACCAAACCTAACACCCAACCCCAGCCCCGAACTGAAACCACTCGTGCTCGCCTACATTCCCTCCAGGTGCAGTCGGAGACATTGCCCAGGGAGCACAACCTTGTCATGACCCGATCCGGCTCCCTGATTGGTCAGGGTCACGGCGTAGGAGGCTGGGTGTGTGACTCGGCTACCCTCCCCATGGCAGGACGCAGGGCCTCTCGTACCGGCATGTCCCCCAAACGCACATGTGGCAGTCTGGCTGAATCTGACTCTGGTGGAGGAGGAGGAGGAGGAGGAGGGGGGAGTGGAGGAGGAGGAGGTGGAAATGGAAATGGGACCACCTCCACTGATGGACAACAACAACCACCTGCCAGTGGACGCAACTATGCCACTGTCCTGCAGGGGGAAGTATCTGGACAGAGGGACTACGCTGGCACTCTGGGGAGAGGAGGACTGGAGATGGGAAGCAACTTTGTGGTGGCAAGGCCAGACAGAGAAAGTGGAGGAGTATCACTGACCGGGACTCCATCTGTCTACCCAGAAGCACCTGGCTTTATTGGGGACTGGCGCGATCGAGTAGGTATGGGAGGGTATGTTTTGGGCAGGAGGGATATGACCCCTCAGCTTTTGCCCTTCCCCGGGCAGCCTCGGGCTACATATGGCAGTGTGATGGGCTTTGGGGCCAACTGGGTTCCAGGAATGGAGGCAGCCAGAGGGGGACCAGGGCACGGGGGTCCCTCCTTGGCACTGCGAGTAGGTGAGTTCCTACGTCTACGCCTTGCCCAGGTCACCTTTGATCCCTCACAGCCGCCATACGACTCTGTGCAGGTGTATGGGCTGGAGGGAACAGGGTCCAGGGCTGGATCCCTCAGCTCACTGGAAAGCGAAGGGGAGAAGGATTCAGAGAAGGAGGATTGGGGGGCGGGGCTGGAAGAGTGGGGTCCCAATTCCAGAAATTAGCCCAGCTCTTCAAAGACAGGGAGAAAGAGAGGGAAGATAAGGAAAAGGTTGACGAGGGTGCCAAAAAAGAGAAAGAAATGAATGAGGAGCCTGAGAAGAAAGTGAAAAAAGATGGAGTGCGGGCTGGAGAAGAGGGGAAAGATTGAGGAAGGATATAAATGAAACAAATAGGGGCAAAGGGGGATACGAGAGGAAGGGGAGGAAAAGAAGGATGATGAAAAGGCAACTTGAGCTCGAATAATGTGAAGAGAAGTTAAAGGGGAGAAAGATGAAGAGGCAAAGTAATAAAAAGAGACAGAGAAAAATGAGCCTAGGGAGGATGGAGAATGCGAGGGCAGGGGAGGGAGTGATTGATGTAATTTATAGCAATAAGTGTTGAAACGCTGATATGGTTGAGCACAGATACTGAGACAATGCAGAGCCTGCTTCTGCTCGGGGCAGCAACAATTTGTTAAACGCTTTGGACAGAGAAAAACAACTCAAACATCCAAGACTCGATTAAATTCAGCTCTCACGTATGGAATGAGAAACAGCAGGAGGCGAGAAGGAAGACGTCTGGTGCGCCAATCTGATCCCAGTGTCTGCGTGTTTGTGTGCGAGAAAAGTCAGTGAGAAGTGCGTGACAAGTACGTGTGAAGTGCGTGAGAAGTGCGTGAGAACACGTGCGCAACCGAGCGCGTGCCGTATGCGTGCATATTTAACAGAGATGGAGCAAAAGAGAGTGGCAGGGGAAAATCGAAATACCCAGAGACAATTTTTGAGATGAGACTGATGACTAATGCTGCGTAATGCCGCAACATTAGCTTTCAGGACGACGAGGCAGGAAAAAACAGTTAACGACGAAGTTTAGAAAGTAGGATAAGACACAGGGGAGGGGAAAAAGTGATGTTTGACTATAAAGGGAATGGGTGGCAAGGATGTATAGAGAGAGAAATGGTCTTGGAAGTGAGATGATTGTACAGAAACTGTTGCTTTTTATTCCATCTGCAGTGGCAGAAAAAGTGAATTATTCAGCTTGCTACTCCATTCCAAATGAAAATGATGAATCATTTAAATCCTGCAAAAGATTCTTCCTCCTCTCAGCCTACGAGGAAAAACAGACATTGTGAAAAATTTAAATGGTTTAGGAATATGATCCCCCCCCTCCCCGGACCCTCTCGGTTCTTCGCCCCCCTCCCATCCCCCCCAGCTATTTTGTAGTTGAGTGTTGTTATGTTTACAAAGATTCACACACAAACACGCGGCGACACAAAAGAACTGATTAACACCACAAGGCTTTGATTGTACTACAGTAAATTACATAATCCACGAGTATTCTGTGTACCATACGGGGCCGTGAGGACTCTGTTATTGATGGCATAAATGTGTCTTTTTTATGAAAGAAGTCTGCTTTTTTCGAATTTGCCTACCCCACTTCCCCAGTCTCACATGCATGATTTTACAACAACAACAATAAAAAAAACCCCACAAAATCAGTTTCCACTCCAAATGCTTGTACGGCCCAATGGAACATTTCCACGGATCTCTAATGAAATTGTAGTGAAACACAACCACAGAGACAGGCTTTTTCTTTTTCATTTTATTTCTTGTTAAAAGGTCAGGATGCAAATGAGCTGGAGATTTCAGCTGGAATGCACTTTTATACTGTGTGATGTTCAATAATAGATAACGAATCATGTCGAAGATTACAGTTGTTTTATAAGATGTCAGCTAAACGAAGATATCATGTTTGACTGTATGTAAAAAAAACAAACAACATTTGTAAATACCACTAAGTATTACTGCTAAAAGAGAGTATATAAAATTTAAAATGTGTAAAAAAAAATAAAATAAAAAATGTCTAGAACAGAACTTAGATGTTGAAAATGGAGCACTGTTGGGATTACCTGTATGTACTGTAGATTAGAAATGGATTAACTGCGCTGGACTGCCTCCTGGACTCAAAACAACACCATGTATTCAACATCTGTGTTTGGGTTTGCTGTGTGCTAGCTCTTTGTCTGAGATGGACAAGCCAAGGATTCAATTATACATGTGACCTCTGGCAGAAGTTTGTTGTGCAAAATATTAGTTACAGGAAGCCTGTGAGCTAACCTGTGCCAGTGAAGATCCATTTGATGAAAATCCAGTGGAGTGAGGAGAAATCCCCCTAATGGGTATACAAAACAAAACAAAAAAAAGTCAGTGTTCCCTAAAATCTGAGTTAATCGCCTGCAAAAGTGGAATAATATAGAATTTATAATAAATTTTACACGGCCTGAGAGATGTGGAGGTTTTATAGATAGTTGCGTCTCTTGAAAAATATGACAAACACTACGTTAAGGAAAAGTGTCTTGTGTGCATTTCAGGCAATGCAATTCAAATGCCAAATTACTGACGCATTATGGTCTACATAAGCAAATTTTCTTGCGTGAAATAACAACTTAGCTCTATAATGTGTTTATTGCTACGGTGGCCCTGAGAGGTCAGATGTACTGCAACTTAAGGAAACACCAGCAAGTAGAAAAACTCTACAAAAATTCACAAATGACAAGAAAAGTAAAAAAAAACAAAAACCCAGAAAAAAACAAGTGTTTTGGGGTGACAGCAACGTAACGAAACAGCTGCTGATGAAGTAAGACACGTTTAAAAGAAGCAGAAGATTCACATAATACCGTAGATTCAGGTTTGCTAGTAGCCGTTTACTGTTAGCTTGTTACGTTAGCTGTTCTGTCATGATATTGTCTCCCTAAAAAACACTGACATTGTCTTTTGTGAGTTATGTCTTTTTATTTTGGAGGTTTCTTTCATAATGTTTTTTAAATTTCTGTTTTATTCACTTCCATTCTGTTTTGTGTGCTTTTGTGGCATTTTTATATCTGCTGGTGTTTCCTCAGGTTGCGGTGCGTTTGGCCTTTCAGGGCCACCATAGACTAAGCCTGAAAGTTACTTTAGTCCAGAGAGGAATTTAGCCACAACTTGAATGTATGGACGTCTTTGGCACGCCATCACAGAAGTGTCACTGTTTCATTCTTTGTAAAGTCACACCAGGCTCCCAGCTTCGCTAGTGTCCGCCAGTTTGGTCCACCATAATCTTGTTGTCAAGGTCTTCTGCAGCATTTTGTTAACCGGTCGAGAAGCCGGTGACATGAAACAAAATCCATATGTGTCTCTCTACCCTTTACCCGAGCCACAGACTTTTCCATACAGTGCCACTGTGCAGACTGGACAGTATGGGGACCAATATACTGCACAATAACCAGAGAAGACAGGGAGGGGGGTGCAGAACCTCAGGGAGAGCTGATTTGGGATTCATTTGGATGATGAACTGTACCTCTAAAAACTTTCACCTGCTATTTTAGCAAAACATATTTGGACTTTTAGACACTCAGAGGACAGATTTATGTTTTTTACAACATGTCTTCATTTCTGCTATATCATCAGTAATATCTGTTCTTCAGGTAGTAAGTTAGTTTCAAAGACCTAGGAGTTGGAAAGTTTTTGCTAAAAACACTGAACCTTGCCAGTTTCTTCAGTCATTCACGTCATTTATATTAATTAAGAGTTAATGCATCTGAGAAGCTCTCAAGAGGGCCTCTTGACAAACATGTTGCATCAAAATAACACAGAGAGGCTTCTCTAGTAATTTGAACTCAAACATAAAGAAGGCTCACTGTTCTGTTTGTATTTTGAAAGATCAATGTGGGTGAAAGAACTTTGCTTTGTGTATCGTATCCTAGAGAACCGTGTGAACGAGGAACTAATGTTCTTCTGACTCATTTTTGGAGGTGACTAAGCAGCTTCAAGTGCATTACAATCCCCTGTAAAGTGCAGTAGGATGGATCTGATTTGCATTTAGCCAATGAATACAAAAACACACACTCCGTTGATACCCAAAACACCGACTTTAAGTAATTTGATTACATGTATTTCTTCCAGTGTTACATTACATTACATTTTACATTATATTACAGAAATATAATGTAAAATGTTAAATTCAAGTCTAGTCAGATGAAATCTACTTGATTGGCATATATTCACTTTATACTAAGCATATCTTCCTTAATAATTAATTATCTGAATAAGGAAATAGATATTCGATTTTATATATTTCAGTTGCATTTTACTCAAAGTGATTGCTTCTTTTATGAGGTTGAATCATTTTGGCTGCAGAAGTGGAAATGAGAACTGATTCAATCAAAAACACGCATTCCTTTCCGATTTGCCTTCAACTAATCTTCCTAACCTGCTGGTTTTGACTTCGTTGCACGTTCGGTGAGCACAGTGAGCTGAAATAATGGTCAAAATTACAGTTACAATTTACAACAGCCATTCCTAAAACAAACAAAACCAGAAACATCCTTTATTTATCATCCGCTCGGAATAAAAAGTCTCGAATGATTATTTCACCGGTTTAGGAATGAGAATTACTAAATTATATGTGATGTGTTCTCCCTAGCATTTATCTCTAATGCGCATACTTTCTGAGCCGCTTTTCCCCAGAACACATGTATTAACACTCGCCGTATTTTCAGAGCAGTATCGTTTTAGGCAGACATTTTATAAGCAATTAGTATGCTACACCAATAAGTGACCCTGTGCACCGTTCTAATTATATGGTCTATTCCTCGGTCTTGATTGGCTCCAGGTGTCTCATCTCTGCTGATTCAAAGCTTTGCTTTGGCTGATTGGTCAAAATCAAAGTGATGATTCTCCTGATTTGTCTTATTTCAGAGTTCTGGAGTGCTGTGCCGACTAAACCACTTGACAGAGCTGATTATCCCACCTCCTGAGCCCGGCAAATTGGTTCAATCAAAAGCGTGATTAGTTGAATCAGTTGTTTTAAATAGAATAAAAGCCTGAAGTCTCCACAGCACCGCGTGGCTCTTTTTTTCACTCTTTTAGCCAGCTTAGGTGCACCAACAGAGGAAAGCGGTCCATTTATCACATCTTCCCCTGAATGAGCCTCAATATTTAGGACAGTGAAGCTCCACTTAAAGGACGGGCACAGATACCTTAGTATCTAGTTAATGTATGTAGCTCAAAGATGCAGAGTAAAGGTCATGACCTCTGGCCTCTGACCCTAAACAGATCGACCCTCACTGGTTCTGCACCCACCTTCCCCCCGTGACTTCATTGCTCCTGCACGATGTTGATACAATTCCACAATTGCGTGCTGAACAAAGTGTATTTATTTCTGTTGTACTTTTTCTTTTTGTAAATTTGAATAAAAAAGGAACTATTTCAAAGAGATGAGTCAGACCTGCTCTGTGCTCCTTTCTGCACTTTCCAGAATTTCAGGATAATCAGACTTCTGTTGATGGGTGTGCCTTCTGTTTGTGTGTGTATGTGGTGTTTGTATATGTGTGTGTGTGTGTGTGCGTAAAAGTGTGTCTAAGGGAGAACGAGACAGAAGGAGAGAGCTATTGAGAGACGAGGTGTGCAGCGCATACAAATGTGTGCACACCTTGTGAGCATGTGTCTTGTTGTGAGTAGGTGGGTGTGCCTTGTCAAATTGGCCCCTTGAAATTTCCAAACCGCAGACAATGTGTTTGTGTGTGTGTGTTTTTTTTCTGGGATACGTGTGTGTCTGACTGCAGGATGAAGGAACACCTTGTCTGGTTTGATCCACCCCGATGGGGGGATGTGAGGTCAGTAATAGAGGACAGACGGAGAGTTCTGCAGAGTAATCACACTATCAGACAGAGGGGGAGAGTTCTCTGTTTGTTGGCGAAAGGAAAGAGAAAAAAAAAAAAAGCGCATTTTGAACTCAGGAGCTGTAGCAAATAGAGCAGACCTGACAGCTGCGACCAAATAATGCGGGCCCCTTAGCCAACCTTTGCAGCTCTTCTGAATTCTGCGTTTGTCCTGCTGAATGATGGATCGGGGAGATGTGCGCCATTGCCGTGTGACTGAATTGCTGGTTAAAAAGATTTATTACAATAATCAAATATGAAGGAGGGGATTATTTCTACATGATGGTTTAGAGAATGATCGTGTTAGCCGGGTCCTCGCTTGATTACAATGATAATACCCGCCTCAAGTCAGGAAAGGGAGAGAAGCAGAGGGAGAGAGAAGGGATGGAGCGAACCATATTAACGGTTAATATGCAAGTCTGTTGCATTACATAAAATTGCATTTATGATTGGGTTAGAGATTATTCCGCTGCCTGCTAAAGAAAAAGTCCTTGCCTTCCTTCCCATAATTATGAGACTCACAAGGCTGACTCGCTCCCTGCGGAAGCAGCACCCTGTATCTAAAGAGGATGTGAAATCAGTTGGAGGCAAAACAGAGCTTTGACTCGCTTTAACCCCCCTCCACAAAACTGATAAAACACATCAACATGCAACCAACACAGCACCCTTATCGATTTACAAGTCCTATATAAATATATATCAGTCTCCCTCCAGCATCAACACCGCAATGCAGTATGCTAGGTGCGATGCACTGTCATTGCACTGTCAATAATTACAGCATGCATAATTGATCGTGGCATAATAGCAGAGCTGGAGATAAAATGGACCCTGTTAAAGGCGTACACCTGGGAACCACTAAGCACTGTATGTGCTGGAGTGGTGCAAACTCAAAGTGCTGCATGATTGCGTCACAAAACTCACAAGTTAGTGTGTGCTGGTGTGTGTAGTCAAGTACATTGAGATTCCTCATTCTGTTTGAACCTTACTGACACTCACAATCCCTCTGGCTATTCAGCACAGTGTGCACTGTGTGTGTGTGCGTGCATGCACGCTTGTGTGTGTATGCGTGCGCGCGCTTCTGCACTTGTGCATCTATGCATTTCAAGTGTGCTTTAAAAGGCAGCATCCAGAGTGCAAGAGACTGCAGAGTCTTTCGACGAGGCAGTGCAACTTTTTGGACTCGACAACACATTACCCTGCAGTTAAATGTCTAACAAGTAGCTTTTAACTCCACCTGTCCCTCCGTTTCTCTTTTTTTACGAGTGTGCGTGCGCGCGTTTCTTTTCCCCCTCCTGCTCTCGTTGCTCATCCGTTCTGCTCGGAACGCTCACAGAGTTCAGTGGCTCATTTGAAGTGGAAAATTAAATCTTCATTAACAATCTTAATTAGAGTTCGATCTCCCCATAGTGAGGCGACAGAGAATCTATAGCGCAACGTGGAAAAGACCTGGAGCTAGAGTTGGTTTCAGTAAAGCAGTGGCGGTGGGGAGGATTGAGGGGTGCTTGTGTGGGGGGTAATTAGTGAATGGGAACTTCAGGGTAAATTACGCGAGAGGTATTTACACTTTACAGGAGGGGTGGATTGGTAATTAAAGCAACCTGCTGGTTGATGGTGGACAGTGCGATGATAGTCCCAGATGTGTGCTGTGGTGAGGGTGCAGTTCTTGATTCTGCAAAGCTGGTGAACTAGCGCTCAATAGCGCTTGGAGGCTTGGAGGCAGACGGGTATAGGGAGGGCACTGTTAGTCAGAAATCTTCAATTGAATTGTGTCTTGTCTTGTTTTTTGGTGACATGCTGTAACTTGAGGTGACATAATCCCTTATCACGCTTCCATAAGCAAGAGAGCATTTCCCTAATACCAGACAGTAATCATTCAAAGACACTGCTAAGCACGCAGTCTCTCTTATCCACATTTACATACTACAGCACCCTATTCAGGGGCTGCGTGTCGGGGATTGGTTAGTAAATGAAACAATAATGTCGGAGCGCAATTAAAACATGCATTATGCTCCTAAAATGAAAGCAGGGAAGTTGCCTTTCTTGTTAAGCGCTTCCTTTTAACTTTGTTGGTAATTGTTGTGTTTTTGGGGGAGGGGGATTGTGCTGTAGTTCTGTTGTAGTTAGCCACATCCTATCTGAAACCATCAAAATCACCTGTGCAGCCCCCCTTTGTGCGAGCAATGAGCTGAGGAAGAGAGATTTTGCCTGAGGGAAAGCAGGCGAGCTGGACTTGCCCAGGATCTAATCCTGTGACAGGAAGTCCACGGCAAAGGAGCACGGCCACACACAGCCCGAGTGAGACTGTATATGTCCCTGTGGGGTAGATCATTTGTCTAGCTGTCCAGGCGCTTCTTTATTTGCAGAGGACATACAGATACGCACGACCACAGAATATTTCTAAATGGTGAGGACAGCAGATAGTGTCTGGACCTTGGTTTTATTTATCTGCTCCGCACAGTTTCCTGGGAGCTGTGCTGGTTGACTGCTCCAAGTAGGGGTGATCATATCTGCAGTAATGTTGTCACGGTGGCTGAAGATTCAGGAGAGGAATCTGTGGAGATGTGTGTGTGTGTGTGTGTGTTATGGAAGGTGACAGACTCTGTTTATGCAGCTGATCGTTAGCGAAAAGAAAAAATGGAGAACAAGATAACCAATTACAGACACACAAACACAGAGACGGAGAGAGAGAAAGAGATAGAGTTAAGTACGTTCATTAGCCCTTTGTGTCAGATTGGTTAATTGTTCAATGAAGTGAGCAGAATAATAAGTTGAGGGGGTGGATGTTATGCCTTTGGTGAAATGTTCACGGGGATTTATTCTCATCAGCTGTGCCTTTTATTGTCCTACATAGATCATGGAGCAAGTCTGACAGCTGAAGGCTGCACAAAAGGCAGATCCAGTATTAGGCCACTGCCCGCTCGCTAAATACCAACAGACTCTCAAGCGGTGCGTGTGGCCATTAATAAATCCCTTGTCGTCTGAGAGAATTTTTGCGAGGCAGCGCTGGACCTCGGCTAAATAAACACATCTGCTCATCTAAGTACACACAGTACACAAGCTGCACAGTCAATTGATATATATGTAGTGCGGGTACAGTCCAGACATCACATCTTTAGCAAGCGACTGAGTGACTTAGAAAATAGATTATTTTGGGATGGCTTGAAGTTGTAAGGGATATTCAGCTTTCTTCCCCATATTACTGTCCATATTTCCTGTTTATTTTCCGCCTGAAAATCTACTCCTCCTTTTTATCTGGACTCATTTATGCCCAGATGCTTTAATAATGTAGAGCAGGAAATAAAGCTGCCTGGAGTCGAGCCCTCCCTGCTGCTGGTAAAGTAACACGCTGCCTATTACTTCACTTGTTTTACAGCTAATTCTCTATTTCTGGAGTTGTGCCTCTTCCAAGACCTGCACTTATTTTGGTTTTTGCTGACTTGTCAGTTTTACTTTTCTTCTCGTGGACTGCTGTAGTCAGTGTTTCTGCTCATAGGATTGCCTGTTATCAATTACATTACGATATACAGTACGATGCAGTAATATAATATTTTCAATATTTACAATGAATTGTGCAGGTTTTTTTTAAAAAAAAAAAATAGAGTCTGATCAAGTAAAACCCGCTTCCTAAATGAAAGATTTCTTTTTAATCACGTGCTTCACTAATCCTTAAGATTCAGTTTCCTTTCAATTAACCATCAAGCTGCTTTACACTTGCTAAAATCGTTTTCCTTCACTCTGATTTATGCCGTTACATATTGTGCGTCAGCTCTTCCAGTTCGTGACTGAAGCCATACGACTGAGCTACTTACTCCCCGGCTTGCGTGATGTTTATGCTCGCTGAAGTCACTAGAAGTCCTTCAGAATTGAACTGTACTGTAACTGATCACACAGCAATTGTCTGCGGGATTGAAAAGGTCCAAGGGGGCCAAACAAACCCTGCTCACACATAAGAAATCAGAATATGAATGATCAAAACATGACACTGTGAATCATCAGCAAAACAACAAGCATAAGGTCAGACAGGCTACATTAAGGCCCCCCCCAGTCCAAATATCTCATCTTCCTGCATGGATGTAGAGGTGTACTCTGGGGCAGCTGCACGTGACGTCAATGCCTCACCTGTCCAATAGGCTCGAATTCACTGGCCAACCAGGACCTTTCTGTGTGGAGTTCTCCCTGTGACTGTGTGAGTTCTCTCCAGGTACGCTGGCTTCCTCCTTCAGACCCAAAACATGGATGGTTATCTGGCGACATAGGTGTGAA